GCTTCAAACTTTCTGCGCATGCGTCGCATTGTGCACAAGCGTATTCTCAGCCGTAAGGCCTTTACGGCTGAGAATATGCTTGTGCGTTTGCGCAAAATACGTTTACGAGTGCACGTTTAATGTATAACGGACGGTAAAAGCTAAGCTGAAATTATTTAATTATCTATTTCAGTTAATGTTGCAGATTGCGTTGTTCCTTGATCTTCGAATTGGATCCGGCTTATTATTTTTTGCAGACTGTTAGAGCAATATGAACCATATGAACTTCATGCTGCTAGCTTGTTCAGCAGGATATCAACCTGGGTGTAACTGCCAATGTTTGCTGATCTTCATCTGCTTGACTGCTGGTAGGCATTTGACAACTTTTATTGTATATTCTTTCTCAACTGCAGCTGAATGAACTTAAATTGCATTTGAAGATGGTAGTGGAATAGAAGTTGCTGAAAGCATTTATGCTTTAATTACTCTGTGTACCTATATCATTATTTTTTGTATGTAGTTTTACTTGGCATGCCATTCTTTACCAATTTTATTGTTGTAGTCTTTAAAGTGCTTACATATTAGCACAACCACTTTGGCGCAATTTAGTGATTTTTTACAGCTGGAAAGGTAAAAGTTGCTTATTGGGTGCAAGTGAGTGTTTTTGTGACTTTTTTTGAAAAAAATTCTCCAAGTATTCATATTTATTAAAAGTTGGCAAACGTTTTCAGCATATGAAAAGTCAACATACTTTAACAATTTAAAATACATTATCTCCAAATCTTTCTAATTTTTTTTTGGCAGTTCTCCCTGAGTACATAGCTATCTGTTTTTGCTTTAAAAAAATCAGCGAATTGGAAAGACTTGAGATCACTCAAACCGCGACCACACCACTATCTACCAAACTCATGTTCTCATTGTTCTCTTTAGAGATTTTGAAACAAAATTCTGTATTGCTGCAGGAATTTTATCGCAGTTTCTTCCATTGCCGGCCAATTATACAAGTGCATATTTAAAAATAAAATAAAATAAAATTTAAGGCAAAGAATATCACAATTTGACTCTAAAAACCATTGGAACTTGCAGCACAATAAAAAGAATGCATGCAGAAATGACTGACTGACTGAAGGATTTTTAGAGTGTGGTTGCCTGAAGAATGGTTATGCATATCGTTGCCAAAATTTGACAACTTCTACAAAGGGTGTTACAAGAATACATAAGTACTGTCTTGAGAATATCATAAATATGTTGAACACTTGTCAATCTGAGTACGTGATGCAGTTGATATCCCTTCATTTTCTTGTTCTAGGGATACTTTACAGTACTGGAATACAGTTTCAACTGAAAACCACTATTACAAAATGTTATGGTAAAATGTTTTACCTATATCCTCTTTGAAACAGTATAAAACTTAAAAAAGCCACCAAAATTATGTGCCTGGGTTAAATGGGTTATTTTATAAAACATTAACCTGTTTTATGTTTAGCTGATTTGGCAGTCTCTTAGTCACTTTTCTTTGAAATCTTATCAAAGATTCACTTTTAATTATTTTTTTCTATGCATCCTATAAATAAAGTGTTATGCCTCCCGATCATTTTATGCTGTGACAAGTAACATATTAAGCATTTATTTTTTTATTAATGCATCCAAGACATAATTTGACAGTTATAAAATGCTTCAGAAAAGTTTATTAACAATTTTTAAAACATTTGAAATTCAGATTTGAAAAGAGATCATTACAAAATAGACTATAATAATATCTGTGGAATCTATCTGTTCAGAATAGTCAATTCCAACTCATAGCACCATTAGTTAACCTGAGCATCTATTTATTTGATTCAGATTTTAAATTATGATTGCATTCAAATTTTAAAGAATAAATCCAATTCGGAAAGAAAATAATTTTCCTATTTTTATTTAAGGAGGGCTTGTCATTTAAATGAGACCAGCTGGACTAACAAAATGGCTAATACCAGGATTTTCAATGCTTTCAATGCTTAATTACAAAAAGAGAATAAATTTAAAAGTAGGTGGTTAACATTCATATACAAAGATCTAAAAAATAACCAAATATTCATTATCGCAACATATCTTTTTAACCATTTCATCAGAATTGAAAAAAGTATTTGCATGTTATTTTCAGTTCAAATGATTAATATGCTAATGTATGAGCTTTATTTTTATGTCAGTAACAGAATGAAAAATAAATTTGAAAACATCATTCTGAGCTCAAAATTGTTGTATTATCAAATGTACAATAACAATAATTTACAATAACTATAATTTTCATAGCTGTTGTTTCTTAAGCACTCATTTGCTTTTGGTTCTCATTTTTACAGCCCATATTCAACTTATCAGAAGTTTCTTGAATTATTTACATAGCAAGGTATGCACAAGTCACAGGATTGCATTTGTAACCTGTAACATTTTTCTTACGGCTCTTCGTAAATAATTTTCTGATGTAAAAACTGTACCATGTTGTGTTGTGAGGACATCTGAAGATTGACGAGGAGATCTCTTTATAGACATTCACACTGGATGGCTCCAGATGGTCCGCATAAATACAGTTATGCAGACTTATTGGGTTTTAAGAAAGCAGTGGATCATAACACGTAATGCTGTTTAAGCATGTAAAGAAATTGTTAAAATAAGGTACAGTTTATCAAAAAATATGCCAATACAGGAAAGGATTAAAGTTTGAGATTTGGGTATTAAGCAAAAAATAATGCGTGAATAATTTCCAAAATTTTCAAGACTTAGTTACTGAGGTTTTAATTGAAACTACAGAGTGCAAGAAAATTCTTCTGATTCATGCATTAGCTTTAGTGGTTAGAGTAGTAGACATTCAACTGAAATTTCTACCTGTCAACACTGTATCCTTGATCCAGCTTTTTTGTACAGGAATCAAAATATTTCAGAAATGTTCTGTGACAGAATGAAGTACAGTTAAGATGCATTTCAAATAAGAAATGGGAATTTATTGTATACAGTACTGTTCTAGATAATTTTAAGAAATAAAGACTCAGACTATACATAACTTTTTACAAGTGCTGTTTTCAGAATTCGTATATGGAAATGTCAGAAATGACTGAAAGTAAGTCACAATAGATTTCGTGATTCTAATGATTAAAAAATCTTGAAAATTTGAGGGTACTAACAATTCTACCAACTAAAACTACTGTGCTGAAATTAATATTGTGTTTAAATACTGAGATAGAATTGGATGGCAGAAGAAAAAATTGACACATTAACTGTCAACTATGAAATAACTTATAGTAGCTTTCTGGCCCTGGACTCCCTGTACATGTATACTTGTATTTGTTTGTATGATTTATATTGCCAACCATTAACATGGTATCTGGGATCAGAATGCACATATGACCTGTGGCAGTCATAATCTTAATGAAGTAACTTGAAAAATTGCCAGGCAATATATTGATGCTCAAGACATTACTGAAAACAAGAAGACATCAGACAATTCTTTGTCTGCCATTATTATGTATAAACTGATTGGTAAAAATATATTTACGGGTGCCCATTGGTAATTTTTGGCGGTACATGGATACCGAGTTTGTGGAATTCTTTGACTCGTTAATTTGGCTTCGTGTTGTGGCGATTTTTGTTTTGTGCCAAAAATTGCCTCTACACAAAGCCAAAATAAGAAGTCAAAGAATTGCTGAAACTCTGTATCCATATACACATTCACCTATTTTCGCTTAAAAAAAATCAGAGAATTTCACAAACTTGGCATTGCACACTGCCTTGACTTTGTCCACGTACACATCGATCTATTTTCACTTAAAAAAGTCAAAGGAGCAGCCAACAAAAAATATATAATCTCAATAAACTACATTTTAAATCGAACAATCAAATAACATAAAAAAGGAAATTCATCTTAGCACTTTACAAAGGAAATATCCACTTACCTTATTTAGAAATTTTCTTGTCCTCAGTCTAACAAAATTCCTTAACAGCATCAAAAATCTTCGTAAAATTATCTGAACTAGAATTTATATACTGGCATTGCCACATAAATTCATAAAGATAAGAGTAAAAAATATCCTCCATACCTCCGGTATCCTCCGACGTTCGGCCATATGCATTTCCTTCTTGCAAACAAGACACTTATAATGGCTACTAAGTAAACCTTCATTTACACACTAGTCAATTAATGGTCTATTCCTCTTTCTTCCTGAACTGTACAAAAACTCCAAATTAATCTCGCCACATTCAACCATTTTACCATCTAAACTCAAACCAAGCAGCGAACTTCCTAACCAACACACACCACAAGCCCTTACAAATCGTTTCCCATCATTCAAATTCATCGCAATCACACAACCAGCTATGTCATAATAGGGGTTCCGTAACATTCAACTACTCAGGTTACCATAAATGAAACAACAACTTTGTGATAATACAAGGGGCACCCTTAAATCTACTCTAACCAACTGATTTTATTTTTTCAAGTTATTTTAACTCTTAATGAAATTCTCCAACAAAACTTTCTGGACAGAGAGCTTTAAAAATATGTGGCATATGTTAGATACATAATATTTAAACATTAAGCATTTTCTTAACTGGGAGGAACTATGTCAGTAGAGCATACCTGAAAATTTTATCACTGAAAGGAAAGGAAATTTGAAACACTAATAAAAAATGTTTCATTATTAAATGCCTAATTCACTGTTCTTCATTTTGTTATTCATCTGAATGCAAAAGTTGTAGTTTTTGACAGTGTAGTTTGACTTATTATGATTTCTTGAGTTTTAAAATTATGATTCTGATAATAAGAGTATATATTTAATTGGAGAAAAACATTATATTTTGCATACACCTTAATTAACTTAATTGCCTCATCATATTCTTTGAAAGAAAATGTTGAGGGAAAGGAAGCTGTTAAAGGAAGAAAAGTTTTGTTTTTTAGGTTTTTAATTGCCGTTAACCACAATTTCTTGCAATTCTGTATATTTCTTATAGAAATTAAGTAGCATTTAATTAAACATACAATTTTTAAATAGGCAGGAAATGTAACTACTACTACCTTGGCTTTGATTTGTCTCCATGAAGTTCTGATTTATGATACACCTTGTTCGCAAGCATTGATTGATGGAAAAGCAGTAAAACTGTTACTTAATGTGTTGGAGACTAATTTGCTTTGTACAAGGAGATCACAAGTAAGTTCTTCTGAATACATGTAATTCTTTCTTGATACTGCATTTGTTTTTAAGAAATAACATTGCAAAATTTATTATATATATGTTTGTGTGTACTGTAGCCAAAGCCTAAAGTATATAAAAATTTAATTTGCTAGTTTCGACTTCGGCTGTTCACTTTGCAAACTAGTGAAGTGAAATCAGTCAAAATAAGATGCAGTAAAAAGTTCGAAATCCAAACTTCTGGACCACCAGTCCAACAAGTAAATAAATATATAAATAAAATTAATATAATAAGAAAAATTCTCCCTGTTTACAAAGTCTAGCAATGGAGAATATAATACTCAATAAAAGAAGGCAAGTGTGCCATAAATGTGATTTTTCTCACCACTAACTGAGATTCCCAGCAGACTTGTGATTTTCAAATACTGCTGGCTAGATAGTGGTCTTCTGGCGTATGACAGTCAATTGATTAACATACTGTTATTAGCCAGGATAACCCTTTTAGGCCCTTAAATGGTTGTGAAGGGTTAACACTTTTCTTTCTGATCTAAACAAAAAGTGAAACCCCATTGCTGCTATGTGTACATGCCATTTTACAAGATTTAAACAGATGAACTAAAATCTAGAACTTTCCAAAATTTGGAATTGCCAAAGTGCAGGCGATTGCAGATACTTTGTTCTATTTTCTTTATTTCATGTTTAATGATTTTTCCAAGAATATGATGTTTTTGGCATATGAAATATATGTATCTTTCATTTAAAAGTGTAATTTTTAAATGTCATATTTTTATCATTAGTATATGGTTTTTTTATGACAGTTTCTCTGCACTGTAAAACTAAAATTAAATAAATTGGAATAAGGAAACAATGTAAATAAATTAGTTACATGAAATAAAGTAAATAAAAGCCAGTTAAAAAAAGACGTTATTTCTCTCAAAAGTGTAAAAGTCCCTTAAAACAGATAAATAATCACAAAACTATGATATGTTTTGACATTAGAAATGTCATTAGTGAAGTCTGTTCATAGTATTTTGAATGTTATGTTATTATTTACTTGTAATTTACTTGCATTGGGAACTATCGCTCTTATTACAAATGTGGCACTTGTAATAATGTGACTGTCCACAAGAGTTGGATTAACTGTTAAGCAAGATAAGCATATGCTTAGGGCATTAAGCAAAGTGGGTACCGTAAAAATTACTCAGGGCAGTTTTATTATGGGATGTTTGATGTAGCAAAACCAAGACCTAGAGAGAAGGGAAAAGACATGTGTTATACTGTTACTATATATGAGTACACCAACATTTTTTTAAGTGCTTAACCCCTTTGTAAATCTTAATGGTTACTAGGACTAATAGGATTAGTACGTCACTAGGACTAGTGGCTTTAATAATCCTCAGTGACTGTGGGCTTGATGGTCACCAGTGTATTGCAATTTTAGTTTTAACAATTTGTCTATGTTTACTGCATTGTCTCATGCCAGCAACTTATGTGTTGATTGCTAGTACCTGTAGGCCATGGTGACCTATTGCTCTGATGGAAACCTGTCTCTTTTAATTTAATTTTATTCTAATGATGCATCTAAATTCACTATACCACCTCACATAGAACAAATACTGATTGATGCTAGTGACCAACAACATTCATAGGCATCACTGAGCTTCAGTTTAATTTAATTAAAGTTATATAAATTTACTGCATCAGTAATCTATGGGCTTTTACTACCAGTAAGGGTTATCTGATGATCACTGGTGATGAAAACCCTGCAGTAGTAGGTAATCCATAGCTCACTCAATACAGTAAATTTACATAATATTTTGAAATAAAATTAAATGTGGCTGTGAATGACACAGAAATTTAACCACTAACTGTAAACCAAGCATGATAATAAATTTTGTAAGGTTTTTATTTTAAAATGAAACCAAAGTACACTGGTCATTTTCAAACTTGGTGGCATACAAGTTAATTATTGATCTTTGTGTAGTGGCAGTCAACTCACAACTTGCCAGTATTGTGCAGTGCAGTAAATTAGTCAGATTTTTTTAAAATTAAATTAAACTGAAGGAAGTTGGAAACTGTTAAGACTATCATCGGCAGTGGCTTAGAGTGGTCAGTCATTTGTATGTGGCCATGCAGTGTTTGTTGCTTTGGCAGACTAAGATTTCTGCATGTGGTTTTGAAACGCATGCTGGACACTTCATGGCCATATACTGATAGTTGTATCTGTGTAGGGGTTAGTATTTTTCTGTCTGACTTAAACCATAAGTGAAGGCTCCAAGACATATTTGTTTGTAGCAAGATGTTGCTCTTAATGGTTTTCATTTGTTGGCATACCAGGTAGCGGAGAAGGGAGAAATTTTCCAAGGAATTCAAGTTCATTTAACATAGCAAATCGTGCTCTTTCTTACCTTTCTAATTTGATCCAGTTTATTATTCTTTTGCAGAGTGTTATTATTACAGCTACCTTATAAAAATTAAAGTTTGAATATTCATTTATTTTAAAAAGAGTTTCTTATTTTGAAGCTGCAACAGGATCTGTAAAGTGAAAGCATGTTATTTCAGTGTCAAGCAAATAAAAATGGAATTGCTGCAAAAAATTGATAAAAGCATATCCAACTCAAAAATATGCTAGGATTATGGCACTGGAAAGTCAACAATTCATTTTTTTAATGAAATGATATTAGTGAATTCTGTTTGGTTAATGAAATGATGTCAATAAGCACTCATTGATTAAGAAATGATGTCAGTAAGAATTTATTTATTAATGAAATGATATCAGTAAGAATTCATTGATAATCACACTTTAGAAAGATTTTGATTGGCTAAATACTAATTTTTCATAATGTATAAATATGCTCATGTTTAGTTTTTGGTATGCACTATATGATCATTTACAGAAGTCTCTGAAATGAATGTATTTATTTATTATTCATAAATTATTTTTAACCTTTTCCTTGATGTTGGAGGAATAGTATCTGAAACATCTTCATCTCTGAAGACTTCTAACTGCTCAGCATGAATAGTTAACTAATTCATCTCTATAAATATAAGTTCATAGTAGTATTATAATAACATGTGAACAGATTTGTGAATATTTGTATAATTTTTTTAATAATGTAATAAAAGTTGATTCTTTTACTAGGTGCAAGCTAATTTTAAAATGTGCATAGAAGAACTCTAGAAAATGTGCAAACAAAAAATATTTGTATGCTACTTAGAAGATGGACCCTCTGTTGCTGTTCTTACATGCAAAATTTGTTCAACCAACCAAAGAGTTTTATTAACGTATTTCATATAAATGTTGACAGCATTCCTTATGATACAGTTTTCTGTCAATTAGAAGGCCCTATAGAAAATCGTATTCTTGGATCTATAATAGAAACAAAGGAAATAGTAGAAAACGAAATTATTTTTTATTGTTTTTATGACACATTTTTTGATAATAAACTGTATAAATGCCCAGGACTTGTCTCAGTGGAACTAACATTATATGAATGTAATACTTATTAATCCTTATTTAAAAAGTTGTGTTATGCAAGGCAATTGCTGCAAACTGAATTTGTGATAATTTATTATTATAAATATAAATTTTATAATTTTTGTTGAAATGGTTCTTTCTGGCAATATACGTACTGAAATATTCTAGTGACCTCTGCAGAAAAGCCACTTGGTGTAATTTATGGTCAGAGATTTAAAGCAAGACTTGAGATTTTGTCATGTGCAAATACAGTCAAAAGTCGTTAATCTGGACTCATCGGGACTTCGGCGATTCCGGATTATAGATCATCAGTTTAAATCTGGTAAGATGGCATGCAGAAATTATAAAATTAAAAATATGAAACTGTAATTTATGAAATAAAGAACAATTATGATCTAAAGGGTATTAAATTTACAAAAAAAAAAAAAAAAAAAAAAAAAAAAAAAAAAAAAAAAGCTTAATATTTATTTGTTTACTTTATTAAACATTTCTTTCAAAGTAAGTTGTTTAAGTTGCTTCGGTTTTTATGTGATAATACATTCTCTTTAATTCTTTAAACAGACATAATTTCTTGTTCAGTTACAAAGTTCTGCTGTTCAAGTCCTATAATTGCTGTGTCGAGAATACCGACTAATTTGTCAACTGAAATTTTTTCGTTTTCAATAACCTCTGTCACTTTCTTCGCTATCGGAAGCGAATTATAATGATGAGGAATTTGATTTAAATCATATCAAAGATGGGGTACATCGAGATGAAATACTACATTTAATAAGGAATTATAAGCCAAATAAAATAAAAACATCTGCCCTGAAGATAAGGATAGTGCTAACAGATCAACTTCCAATTCATTGCGCGGCGCTGCGGCGTTAAAGATAAACAAAGTTTAGATAAACAAACATTAAAGTTTCGATAAACAAAGGATATGCCTTTATCCATTTTTTGTAGCAATTCCACTTTTTGTTTAATAAACTTCAAAACATAATTTCGCATTGTAGACCATTTACATATTAATAAATATATATCAGAAATTCTATTTGACATAATCGAAAGTTCAAGCTTACTTTTATAAAATTGCTCTAACAGTCTGCAAAAAATAATAAGCCGGATCCAATTCGAAGATTAAGGAACAACGCAATCTGCAACATTAACTGAAATAGATAATTAAATAATTTCAGCTTAGCTTTTACCGTTCGTTATACATTAAACGCGCACTCGTAAACATATTTTGCGCACGCGCACAAGCATATTCTCAGCCGCAAAGGCCTTACGCGCATGCGTCAATGCGCAGAAAGTTTGAAGCTTTGAGGTCCAGATTATAGATCATTCCGGATTATGGGTGTCTGAATTAACGACTCTTGACTGTATAAACTTTTTGTGATCAAGAACAGTACATGATCTTAGTCATTTATGAAGGAGCAATGCAAATAAAAGAGCATCGATGACAAAAACATTAATGAGTGATTGGTTTGAAAATCATTTCGTACCCAAGGATCAGTAACATGTGAAATTAGTTTTATTACCGGATGATGTGAAAATTGCT